ATCTTTACAAAAAATATACATATGGTTGATTGCTTGACTTATAAACGATCTACTTTAATCTATTCATATGGCGCAACCAATACAAGATTTTTACACCTTTTGTCACAAAATTAGTTACATAACATAAAAAAATATATATAAAAATGTTTACAGTTTCATGCTTAGTGGATTTTGTTACATTACGTATTTGTTTAAGACAAGGAAAGAAATTATTAGTCCTTTCATTTTCATGTCGTATTGTTTGTTACTAGATATTGAAAATATCTTTTCTGTTTTATTTTATAACAATTTTTATCTGTAAGTACATCTATAGTATTTATATTATCTATAAGTAGCTGTTTATCATAAGTATAACACTCGTTGACTTCTCCTTGAGGGAGGAGCAACATTTCCACCCACCTAGATTTGCATTTTTCTTGTACTTGTTAACTCACGTGTTACAAGTTGTGGGAGGATTTTTTTTCTTTTTTTAAACAACTTGACTTCGTCCCTACATGTACCAAGGACAGGATTTGTTCAATGCCAAGTTGTTTTCAAAAGAAATGATTTCTTTTAAAACATACATATATTCAGCTGACGAGTTTGTTCAAATTAAATAAAACAAACCATATTTTGATATTGAGTTAGCTTGTTTTTTCCCCATTTTTTAATTGATGTCGTGCATATATCAAAAATGATCAAAATATAAACATTAGTTCAATGAAGTACATCACAGTCCCATCCATATTTAGATTGTAATTAATTTAAGTTAATTCACCCAAATGAAGTTCTAAAATATTTATTTCTTTAACAAGACTTTTACTCCACAGTATTTCAACTACCTCCTCGAAAAGCTCGGGATATGATTTAATTACAATATAAATATTTATCCCACAGAGGTTTACTTTCCTTAAAATACATGAACAACACTGTACTCAGGACCACATATTTTCCATTGCAATAGAATTCTCAATAATTAAAATTATTCATAAGTCAAATAAACCTTGCTCTTACTAGTTCCTACCGACCCATTAGTCACCCATCTATTCTTGCCAAAATTCTATAAAACCCCTTGGCCGAAGATTATTGCCCATAATTGAAAATTCCATTAATTTTCCAGAGTTACTGACAATATCGCCTCTTCTCAACAAACAGAATTGCAAGGTTTCCTCCTTTTGTCTGAGGGGTAATAAACCTATTGTTTGATAGCTACCTATCATCCTGCGCCATCTTCAGCATTTGGGTGATATCTGTACAGGATCTGTGAACTAACAAAAATCAGCGAGGATAGGCAGACCAGGATGATAAGTAACTATCAAACAAAAAACAGCAATTAATTAAGGTTTTTAGTTGAGACGAAAAAAAGTCAATGGCACGAGCGGGATTCGAACCCACGACCTTCGGCTAAATACGCCGCTGCCCTACCACTTGAGCTATCGTGACTTCAATCCACTCGGACACCAACTTGAAAAATGGCTAAACGGAGGAAAAACTCGGAACATAGGTTGAGATGGGAAGTTGGTGTCCGAGTGGATCGAAGTCACGATAGCTCAAGTGGTAGAGCAGCGGCGTATTTAGCCGAAGGTCGTGGGTTCAAATCCAGCTCGTGACACTGACTTTTTCATAAAGATTATTTTATATATGGTTATCGAGAGTTTGTGGCTTGGAGAGAGGATAGGCAGACCAGGATCTGTAACTATCAAACAAAAAACAGCAATTAATTAAGGTTTTTAGTTGAGATGAAAAAAAGCCAATGGCACGAGCGGGATTCGAACCCACGATCTTCGGCTAGATACAAGTGGCTCTACCACTTGAGCTATCGTCTCGTGCCATTGACTTTTTTTCATCTCAACTAAAAACCTTAATTAATTGTAATGATTTAATTGGTCAAGCGGACCACAAAATTAGTGAATTTAAGGAAACAAAAAACAGCATTGATTTAGGACAGGCCTTCAATTGAGTCTTGCACTTGGGCTTGCTTTGAAATTAAAAATCATCCTCCCTCATGTACTATCTCACACTGAGATTATACCTGACGCACTGATTTTGGCAACTGCTTAATTTTCATCTTATGTATTCATTAGGGTGGGTGTACCTCAGGAAAGCATACTTGGACTATTTCTATTTTCAATATACAGGAGTCCCACCAATGGTTGAGTTTTTCATGATTGTTTTGATCTCACACCATTTTTACTGTTGTAATTGTTTTACAAATGTAAAAATCAATAAAAATTATTTAAAAAATTTTAAAATACCATACGCACTACAGATATGGTATTTACTACACATGACATTTCAACACGTACATTATTACTGATAATACAGCAATTTTTACACATAATTCGGCCCCCAACATAAACACTCAACATCACCTGAATGAATTAACAGTATGGTTAACAAAGTGAAGAATGAAAAAAGCTTACAGATAACTTTTATATTGCGTAAAAGTATCTGTCCTTCAGTAGATAAATTGCCTACTACTGACATTGTGCATTATCTTGGACTTTTCATGGATTAACAACTGACTTGGACTCCCTACTCAACACTGAAAAACATGATAAAAACCGATGTTATAAATTATTAAAAGGACAGCTTGACTCACAATCAAAATTAGACATCGAAAACAAACTTTTAATTTACAAGATGATGATAAGACCTCTCTGTGCGTATGAATGTGGATTGTGGGGGTCAGCCGAGGATCCTAATTCCCAACGTCTCCAACATATTCAGTCTAAAATTCTCTGACAAATTATGAAATGCTGCACTTTATGTTTCAAATCATACTATTCATAATGACCTACACATTCTGTTTGCTCATGACCTTGTCAAAAGCTACTATAAAAAAAATTCATAAATCACGTAGCATCCACAATAATGCACTAGTACGACAATTATCTCTTCCAGCCCTACCAGATAATTCTCCAAGAGAAGCCAATCTGTGCCTTGAAGAACCAAATATGGTAGAGCAATCATGCAAGCAATCTGTGGTTTTGTACAACTGGATGGTTTGTCATTGTGACTGAGCACATTCTGTCTGGCCATAAGAGGAAAGGGTTGTGCACTGCAAACCAGTACTGTTGTATTTGTATGTACTGGGAACAATCCTCTTGAGCTTCTACATTAATTCCGAGGACCATACCTGGTCAAAAGCCTATACTATGTCTAAGGGATACCTGAGCAATATGGCTTTCACTCAAGAGGAGTGGTCACCACACAGTGAGCGTGCTGTAAAGCAGAGTGACCGGAACTGATGGGTTGGTAAAACCTGCATCCTCAAAAATGATGGCCTCCTCATCTCAACCAAAAAAATCGTAGACAAAAATAATAATTAATTGGAATAAGTAATATGGTCAATTATGACAACTAAACAAATGTGGATTAATTTAATAATTAAAAAGAAGTAATTACTTCACTATAGGTCCCCTTGGCCACTTCATAAATTGCTGAGAATCAAATCCTGATTACACGACATTTAAAAAAATATGGGAAAAAGAGGGAAAGCTCGAATAGTTGTAGGTTGAAATGAGAAGTTGATGTCCGAGAGGATCTACGAAATGATAGCTCAACTAGTTAGAGAAGCGGCATATTGAGCTGAAGGTCGTGTGTTCAATTCCGGCTCGTGACACTAGCTTTTTCATCTCAACCAAGACCTTAGATAAAATGTATAATTAATATATTTTAATGTAAAAATACTTATGCAATTTAAAAATTATTTTTTAAAAACTGATGGTAGTTGACTTTCAATCGTAAATAGAAAACTGTTTAAAATATTCAAAATGTATGTGATATAAACAAAATATTGTTATTAAAAATGTTCACTAGTGTTGTATAATTGTTTGACAAAAAAGTTAAAGGTTTACTTTACTATAATTGTTTAATATAATTTGTGTCTATGTATTTGGTGTTTTTTTTTTTTTCAAAACTTGATATATCTATTATTTTTAACAATCAAAGCTGAACAAATCCAGAAAATTGTGCCATAAAAGTCCATACATTTTTTTTTACATCATAGAACACCTTCAAACAGAATTATTGGCTTAATAAAAATCACTTTGAAAATTGTCAGTGTTTTGTGCTTCTTGAAAACAATTGTAAAATGGATATGCTCACTTTTAAAAGAAAGTTCCATTAACTATGTACTATTAAATAAAATCGAAATAACATGAAGACAGGAAACAAACTAACATGTTAATCAATATCTACTCGGTGACTTAATAGTACATCAATAATGACATGTAAAATTACACTGTTTGATTTGAGCTGAATACAATAGCCGAGGGAACAACAATAATTTCGTCGATAATGACCAAAATTGTTAGCAGATTGAAGTTAAACAAGGGCCAATGAGGACATCCTGTTTCTCTGCTAGGGAGACTCATTGATTGACTGTCTGTGAAAAAAACAATCCAATTTTATATCTACAATTTTTAAAAACACTCCTAAGAATGTCAATGTTATCTTGCAATTGGAATTTCTTCTCCAAGCGCTACAAGATCCCTATTTTTTGATATGATATTTTTATCAATATCATCAATTAAAAACTCTTCTTTAGCAGATTAACAAGATCCTTCATAAGTAGCAAAAACATAGTGGGACTGAGGATACAGCCCTGCCACACAACTTACTCCAAAGGATCTTTTCCCAGGACCCCATACACAAAATTTTGTATACAAATATTATGCTTTGATTGTGGCAACAAGCGTACCTGATATGCCATTAAGAGTAACCTTTTTGTGTTACGATCCAAAAAAATGCAATGTGAAATGCAGCTTTAATCAACAAAAAATGGGTAACCAAATTCCCTCTTTCCACTCAATATAACAACATAACTTTGTTAAAGATGGTGTCAGCAGTGGACTAGCCTTTTTTGAACAGTACATATATCATTTTCATTGATATATTGTGTTAGAAGTAATAAAGGTTTCCTATTTAGATACTATTCACTCAAGGGTGGTGGAGTACTAGATGAGCAGTAGTAGATAATAAAACAATCCAATATACCAGCTGAAAAGTCATGTATATCTTTGCCTTCCTTGGGATCATAAGCCCTAATGTGCCTCAGATGTTGTTTCGACAGTTTGTCAATGGCATTTTCAATATGTCTAAAAGTTATATTTCTTTTTTTGTATTGAATAATATGAGTAATAGTAATACAATATTCCGTTTTCTTCCCAATCGTCTTTGTTGAGAAATTGCAGTGGGCACCTGATCCATTCCAGTTTCAAGGGATTTTGGATCCAAGGTAGCACAAACACCAAATTCTTCAGCGACTCTATGCAGGATGAATCGGGACATCTACAAATAGTCCCCGATTCCAATTCCTAGGCACGGTACAACTTGATATTCCCACTGATATTGAAAAAATATACAGTTATATTTAAAATTATTTCTATTTATGTTATAAGTTCTGAAATGTTTACCCGAGTAGACATAACTTCAGCATTAGATCCTGAAATGTTTATGCATACAAGCAAGCTTGGTGATGTGCTTCAACTACATCCCTTCCATACACCCCACAAAGGGCCCTGTAATTGCCCACATTTGCGATAAAATTGATTTTCATTTATTGAAAATATTGCTTGTAACATTTAACAATTTAATACAATAACTAATCTTTCATGACGCATTAATTTACTAAATATGAACAAGATATAATTTTGATTTGTACCATGTGTGTTTAGTTTTTCATTACTCAGACACTGATAAAAGTTAATTATCAATCGCAAATGATTAAATAAAGAAATGGTTTTGTTTGTTGGATGTTTTCAAAGGTCAATGATTACTACGTAATAAAATTATATGGGATTTGAGCTATTTTTATCTTCATAATTTTTGCAAGACAGATTGGACTATCATTATTACTTATTTTGCAAAAGTAAAATTTGGCATATCTACAACCCTGGCCAGCTGCATATTGGTAGAAAGTTTGGGTCAAAAGCCGTATTGGTAGGGCTTGATGAAGTTGTTCACAATTAAAAACTTTCCAATTCTACTCAAAATTATTTTTGAATTCTTTCAGATTATGGGTTAGAAAAGAACGGACTTGGCCTCAATAGATGTTGAATTATTTGTAGGGGGTCTGGAATTTGACCACTTTTTTCATGTTTAGGGCTTTTGTTGGGTTTGAATGTACGCGGCATTATGTCTTGTTCAGACCTGTGACCAGCGAACTCTAGAAATACAATTATAGTGAAATGTGAACCTTCTCTTTTAAAAACCCAAATTCGTCTTTATCGGTTTACTCCACTGACAATCCATTAATAAATTATTCGAGTAAAGAAGTATTACTTCTTTTGAAAAATGGCATTAAGTATTTTCAGAAGCTTAAGCAGATTTTCCAATCACTCCAAAGGTCTGAGTGGTAAGTATAGACACTCTTAAACATTCGAACAAAATATCACCATAAAATGTGTTAATTATTTATCTTTATGTGTTATGAGTCATGAACAACACTTATAATTAATTTTTTAACTTTTGTTTTTACCAGGTACGGCTCTTGCGAAAACGATCTCTGCAAAAAATACTACTTTTCTGGCAAGAGCATTGTCTTCTGAGCAGAAGACAGACACAAGACGTAAGTATGGTGTGCCAAAAAATGGTACTTATTTTATCAGTGTTGATGCCACGGAGGAAAAGAAAACAAACATTGCTTCTTTTGTCAATATTTCGACCGTCTATTTTAATAAGCTAATTAAGCAAAATTTACAAAATTATTCATTTGAACATTTGATGTACAAAGAACTCGGAAGAGGCTCGTCTACCGTTCTCTATTTTGCTTCAAAAGTCCTGATGAAGGCGTCTTAGACTTCTATATCCTTCGTGACCTCATCCCCAAGTAAAACAAACACTAATTAATCATTGAAAGCTGATCATCTGTATCAAGTAAAAATGGTACTGTTTTAAGAATTGAATCGCATCGATGGTTAAATTTCTTTTATACAGCTACTGTAAGAAAACCAGATAGTCATGTATCGAGACCGATGCTGAGCCAGTTTGGCGTGTACGTAGCCGAAATTATGCCAAAGTACGTCCAGAAGGTGCAGTTAACTGCAGGAGACGAGTTGGAGATTTTAATCGCGCCAGAAGGAGTTCTACCAGTTTTACAGTTTCTCAAGGACCACCACACTGCCCAGTTTGTCAACCTGTCGGACATAACCGCAGTCGACGTTCCAAGCCGGCAGTACCGGTTCGAAGTAATTCTTCACCATAACTCTTTTGTTTGAACAAATAATAATTTTATTCCGTTTTTAGATCGTTTACAATCTTCTGTCCTTGAGGTTTAATTCAAGAATTCGTGTCAAGACATACACGGACGAACTTACACCCATTGATTCAGCTTGTCCGATTTTCAAAGGTGCTAACTGGTATGAAAGGGAAGTTTGGGACATGTTTGGTGTTTTCTTCTCGAATCATCCTGATTTGAGGAGAATCTTGACTGATTACGGATTCGAAGGACATCCATTCAGGAAAGACTTCCCTCTCTCGGGATATGTTGAGGTAATTATTTATTGTAAATTTATGCTTTCAAACTTAAATAAATTTTAAAGCTCTTCTCCCCTCAACCTATTACCTTATCCTAAGATCCTGGTAATTACTATTCAGACAAGGTGCAGATCTTTCCTTTTTCTTCCTTGTCGGGGCTGGAGTACTGCCAGGAAGCATCCTAGGTCCTCTCCTGTATGCAATATGCCGATATCACTCTAAATCCTAACACATTTCTTGCTACAATTGCATATGAAGCACTTATCCTTTCCTCGCAACAAAACCCAGAGTTGCCTCCAACACCCAAGCCTATCTAAGCAATATCCATCAATGGACCAAAACATGGAGAATAAAAATTAATCAAAATAAATGCCTCCCTACAACCGACTGCTGACATATTCAAATATCTAGGCATGTTTCTTGAGAAAAAACTGACAAGGAATCCACACTAAACTGAAAACAAACGATATAAACTTCTTAGATTAAGGGATAGTAGTAATGTCATTCATCAACTTGTGTACTTCAAAGTCATGTCAAAGACATTTTAAAGTTAGAATGACTTACTTGTAGATAATTAAATCATAAATTTTTGTGTATATGTTTATGTATGTATGTGTATATGAATATGTATCTGTGATTGTTAAATATACCTACTCTATTTTTCAGTATTTAATTAATTGATTTGTTTATTCATTTAATATTTTGTCTATCTACTATTTACAAAAGTAAATGTCCTTGAGTTATCTAATAAAGAATTTATTATTTGAGGAACATTAGTGAATGTGATACATCACTACAAGTGTTGTGTTATTTTTGATTGATTAATTCTTCATTCAACTAATACAAAAAGTTATTGTAAATAAATAATAATAAAAATTCAGAATACAAAATATCCAAAGGGTTTTTCATAATTAAAACATTTATTATCTTGTAAAAGTTAGCTGTATGTGTGGTAATATTGTGAATTGTGTTTTTAGGTGAGATATGACGACGAGAAAAAGAGGGTTGTGGTAGAACCATTGGAATTGACTCAAGAATTTAGAAAATTTGAATTGTCAAGCCCTTGGGAGCAGTTTCCAAATTTCAGAGAAGCCGCCCAAGAGGTGCCAGTGCAAGATAAAAAAGAATAAATCAAAGTGTACATTAAATAGTTGTTATATTTAATAAAATGTAGATATTTCTGTTGATTTTTTTATATTTTTTATGGTGTATTAAGACCAGAATTATCTGAGATGATTGAATTATACCCATCCCTCAATTTACACAGCACTTTTATTAAATATTTGTTTTATGCGGCAAATTTACCTCAATTTATGCGGAACTTTTTATACCTGGAATTGATTTACGCGATCTTATTTACATGGTAAGATATGTACATATTTTCCTATAAATTTTTGACAGTTTTATTGGGGTGGTTAAGGAGAATCCCAGAGATTTGTGGCTCGAGCTAGGAGGGTCGGTCAAATGTGAAGATTTTATGACAAGGATGGTGGTATAGGTCACTGTGAATGAGCAGGTGTTAAGAGAGTGTATAGCTTTGAATTAAAGCAGTTGGAAAATATAGTGAGGTCAATGAGAATTTATGGATTGGTAAAGGAAGTTGCATATATATGTGTGTATATCGTCCACACACATCTGACAGTGAAAGGAGTAGGGGCTAGGAAAGGGCTATTTTTTTCAGTTTAAAAAAAAAAAAAAAAANTTATAAATTCCAATAAATTTGAGAAAGCTGAAAAGTGCTCTTCGATAGAAACACTGGGGACCCAGTAACTCCTGTAAATCACTCGAAAGGTTGAGCCATTGCCTAAAGGGTTGTAAAGTGGGACAGTCGACCAAAATATGTTTTACTGTCAAAATGGTGCGTTCTCCACTTCGCGTACATCGAGGACAAGTTGGAAGGTTGTTGCCTATTAAAAGCCTATTATGGATTAGCCTGATATGACCTATTCGCAATCTAGATTATTATTATTATTGTTATTATTATTATTATTAGGTATATTATATAGCAGTTTATATATTATATAGGTATATATAAACTTCTTGGACTTGTTCACAAACCCCAAGATTTTGGACCATTTTATCTCGGGGAGTGATTTGTTGCCTTCTCCTTCAAAGATTTCAAATCTAGACCTAGCATACCAATCACACAGCGAGGTAGTGCCTTGCCGTTTCTTCTTTTATTTCGCAAAAACGGCAAAAGGGATCTGGTAGAATACCAATTACGGAGAGGTGTCTTCTCAGTGGGCAGTGGCCCGTCAGGATACCTATCAGCCTCCTAATTCCCTTCCTTGAGTTAGAGAATAGCCATTTCGATTCTGCTGGTTTGATCGCCTTAACAAACTCTTTCGATTGTCTGTGTCCGGGGGATAAAAAAAAGCAAATAAAAAGGAAGTTGCATAGGAAATATTTCCTACAGAAGGAGGGATAAAGTCAGGATAGGTATAAATACAGGAGTGACAATGGACATTCAGGGGGTGCCGAAAATAAATCTGACACAGTAACAGTTGATGTAAATGCTAAATGCAAGGGGAAATGCTATAGCCTTGCGGAACACCTGAAATTAAGGAAAGGAAGGAGGATTTGTGACCATAGGAATAGTTAGTTACTGCTTGAAAGCAGCAGGTAAGGAAATAGTGAAACCATCGGAATGTACTGTTGGAACAAGAAAAGGATTCAAATTTGGATTGGATTGATGAAATCAAAGGCTTTGGAAAATCAAAGAGAATTAGTATGGTAATTTTTTGTCGGTCCATTGCGGTGTCACTTATTAATTTTATCTATTGGATGAAGAAACATTGTCAGAAGATGGTTTGGAGAGGATTAAGAAGATGGTTATTGTCTAGATAATTGGTTATATTATATTAAACTAAATTTTCAAGGGGTTTGGACAGATTGAACTGATATAGATCGGTAATCATTAGGGGAAGTTGGGTTGGGCATTTTATTGATGGGGTGAACAAGAGCGTTTTTCCAGGATAAAGGAAAAGTAGTTTTGGAGGGAGTAGTAGAGCCTTGAGGTACAACTGAAGTTAAGAAAAGGAAGAGGATGTGTGGCCATAAGGAATAGTTACTGCAATATGGACAAAAGGGAGAGGAAATCAAAGTCGATCATGAAAACTATCCATCACAATTGAAGCTTTTATAAAAGAGGAGACAGATAATAACACTGTTTGAATTTGTTGCAAAAGATTTTATTTACATAACATTTATTTTCAAACATTTTCATTTGACATCAAACATTCAGACCTAATTAACTTTATGTACACATTTAATTTATGATAACCTGAAATTACATAAATGTCAGTAGGGAAGATAGTTAAGCGTAATATTAGAGGACGATTATATATTTGTGTCGATCCATGATACATTCAAGTTCGAATATGTTGTATTTTTTCCATATTATTATAATAAATGTTTGTTTAAATTTCTTTGTTGACTCCCTGTATTGCAATTTTAATTTCACAAAAGGATTTTTTTTTTTTTTTGTAAAATGAATACTTGATATGCAAGTGATTAATTGTTGAGAGAAAATTGATAATCTATCGATATTAAACCACATAATCACTGACAACAATCTGTTAAAAGCAATTTACACCAAATTTTAAATTGACCCTGTCGAAATGACACGCGGAAACGAACATTAAGTTAAATAAATTTAATCAGTCTTGTTGTAAATTGAATTTGATAATAAATTATTGTTGTAAAAATTGAAATAATTTTGATTATGAATTGAACCACATTTTCAGGGGTTTTATTTTCTAACATTTATAATGGAATAATTTGTCAACAACATTTTCAAGAATTGTGAAACGATAACAGTATTATTTTTCTACACAAATTTGGTTCTGACATCCAGTACGGTCAATATCCTACAGCGATACAATTAACTACAAAGACTCATTTTTGATTATTCAAGTTTCATTACACGATGAAATAAATTCATCTGAAACAATTCAAATAACAAATTTAAAAATGGATAAACATAACTGGCAAAAAAAATTAATAAAGATTTTTTGTAATAAGACAAAAACATTTGTAATATAAAAAATTCTTAATTGTAAATATAAATGCAATTTCTCAATAACAATGAAAATTTGATTAAAACAGATAAAAACCTATAAACCAAAAAATATATACAACCACATTTTGAGCAATTTCTAAAGGGAAAATGCTGAATTTGACACCACATCAATTAGACATTTTTTAGGTTGTTATGATACAGTTAAAAGGAAGGGAGAAGAAAATATCGCATAGAACTTGTATTGATAATTTTTGCTAACACTCTGCTACCACACTTGAGTTAGATATCACTTCTGGACCCGTTTGTACCTTTCCCACTTTCAAACACAAATTTCCCAGTTTTTCATGCATTGTGTTCCAACGCGTATGACAAACTTCTATTGGAAAATTGAAGAAAACACACATCTTACATTTAATTCTACAAGCAAAAATTTTTACATGAAAAATTAACGTTAACATTTGTAATTTATAGAATAAAAATATAGACTTAATCAAATAAAATTCTTGGCCTCCTTGGACATACGTGTAAACTGTTTGTGATTCCTCAGGCCTCTCACATTTACAACATTAACATTTTTTTCAGAATTAACTTTCTCAACTAGCAATGTATTTATCCATAAATATTCAATGATGTTACACGACTATTGTTTAAAAACTTGATAATTGAACACACTTTCAACATTACAAACAATATCATTTTGAAAGCAATAGTCCTTTGGCAGCTGAAATTTAAATGATTATTAACAGATCAGTCTTAAAAATATTACACAAATTTTCACAATCAATAGACAAATTATGTAATGTCTTGTCGTACAAATACGACACCGCATTACTATTCTGGCATTAAAAAATAAAAATCAATGCACAGAATTTCTGTACATGCAAACTTTATTATTGCTCTATAATTTTGATAACCTTTTTCTTAAATGAACATTGGCCATTTTTGGTAAATAACTTAAATAAATCAACTTCTTTACAACCAATGTAATACAGTTTTTAGTTTGACACATAATTGATTGTCATAAACATGAAATCGGTTGTAATATATTTATTTTTAATTGTTAAAACAATCTGATTGTTGAATTAATTTAAGAATAATATTCTTTTACAAGTTATGTTGAATTCCAAAACAAAGGTTATTTTTGATTTAATAACAAATTTTAAGGATTTATGTATGATACGTTCTTACAGTAAGCCAAAGAACTATTTGCAACATAAGACTATTTCAAAAAATATTTCTTTCCTTGACTAGACGACTACTTCATAATTTAACAACATACTATTTCTTTAAAAATTATTGCTTTATCGCATGTTGATATAGAAAATATAATTAAATTCTATTTAATTTTTAAATATTATAGGCACAATTAAATGATTTAAATAATTAATTCAATCTGTAAAAAATAATAAATTAAGTAAACATAAAAAAAACACTTTTTTTCCACACATGGCACGCTTAAAATTGTATTTTCAATTTTTGGTTCTGATTTAATCGCATATCTACTTTGTGGTCATACTAAAAACATGTAAAATAAATTATATATTTATTTTTTAGAAACATTAGATTATAATACTCTGAAAACTAGAGTAATGTTAGTATTAAAAATAATACCATCTCAAAGTTTTAATAGGTAGATTATAAATTCCATACCAAAGTTTTGAACAGGAACGCAAAAGTCCAGAAGCATAAAATCAAATAAATTTTATAATATAAAGTGCTAAAAGTTTTTGGGAAAAGAAAATTATATCGTAATTTAAATGAGAATTGAATAAATAAAAAAATTTGTTTATGGAGATGAATCAAATATGATAAGAGTAAACTTGTGCAGTTATTAGGCTAGCATCAATTTAAATGTTGAGCAAAACAAGAAAAAAAAATCATTCCAGTGATTTATTTTAATAATGCACATTGAAACTTATAATCCAAGCTTTCATTATTAATCAAATAAACCACTTTTAAAAGACAATTTTGATTGAAAATGTAATAAACCTATTGTTTGATTACATATCATCCTAGTCTGCCTTTCCTATCCTCATTGAGCATAGAAAGACCAGGATGGTAGATGAAATTTAATAGTTATGAATTTATGATAATCATTAATCTCATAATTTTTTTTTAAATTTAAACCCGCTACAATAACATCTACATGTGAATAATGTTCAAAATAAAGTTTTTACTATAAATAATGTTGTCGCAATTAAAAAATATATTTTGAGTTTATTACTACCAATTATGTAAATTTGATGAGTACTTTTTAGCTACACAGTATTATGATTATAAATGCTACTCAACATTTTCTAATTAATTGTTAATGATGGTCCCTCTCTGTCAAGAGCTAACCTACATTCTGACTTATGGTTCAACAAATGCTTCAGCTTTGTTCCCATGAGATTACAGTTTGGTTTATTGTTACAGACAACAACCTTGTTTATTATTACCAACGATTTGTAACTACATTTTAACTTTTTTTTCTGTTGCAATCTACCTATTAAACACATTGGGATGAATTCTCATAGCTTTATAAAAATCTAATTTACAAAACAAGACACCCTTTTATTAGATAAAAATAATTACCTAATCCAGTTTCATATTTATAGTTATGTTAGGCACAATTTTTGTCATAAAAAAAGTTAAAATAAATTAAAAAGAAATTATAAAATATATAAATATTAAGTGCCTTTTAGTCACTTAGTTATATCAGTTTATCACTGTTCAGATTGATTCAATTGCACAATAAGCATTTGTCTACTTTAATTCAGTTAATGGTCTTCTCAATTATAGAGGCATTAAACAATAATGTCAGATTACATGTCTTCTACACATTCAACTGAATTAACATTATTATATTCATTGAACACAGCGAACTTTGTTAGGTTTGTCTTAGATCTTAGAATATTAATTGATAAATATACTTTTTTCATTTCAATTTTTTTTGTTAACAGCAATCTTTTTGCAATAAATATGCAGAGAAGGCTGAGTCCGTAGTAATATAATATTATTTCTTGTAATATCACCATAGATAAAAGTACAAACATTCAAGCAATAAAGTAAACTTAAAAAAAAGTTCTCTTTAAATGTTTTCGCTTAGTATCTATGCCACACGCTATATTGGAAATGTGACAGAAAACACATGTACATACACTGATCGTTTTATATATGTAATTGTATAAGTAATTATATACTATTAACAAATGGAAATAGTTTTCCTTAAATTATAATTGGAACTTAGTGTGACGTTGAAGACACATAATGTATGGTGGCATCAAATAATATCACATCACTTGTTTGAGCGCTGTTCGACTGTCTATGCACCTTGCGCTAAATCCTCACCCTTTTTTCCAAAACATACATCCCTCCGAACACTCAGTGCCTCATAGTCTCTTTTATGTTTCTGCCACCTGGAAACAGATTCATTGACACTGCTTTTACTTAAATATTACTTAATGGGAAGGAATTGCTCAAATATAGCTTTTAAAATTTATAATGTAATAATACAAAATTATAATATACAATATTATCAAATTTATAATATCAGAGTCTTAGAAATATTTAAACACCCAATTTTTATGCATACTTTCGAAAACAATGTTGTTGCATCAGAAAATAATCAAATTTCTTTTAATCAGAGTACTACAAACAATTGAATTTGCATATAATTGGTTGGTATGCAGATGACTGAATGTGAAAGTTTGGTCACCAAAGCGACAGCAACAAATTTAAAATTCTTTTTTTATTTTTTTTTATATACAGTGAAACTTCACTTAATGGACACCTCTAAAAAGTGACACCTTTGTATGTACAAATTCTGATCCCCAGGATCTTCCATTAAAATCTTATATAAAGTGGATACTGCTGTTACGACTATATTCTGATCTAAAACTCTCCCAAAAGCGGACAGCAGCCTCCAGAAAATTAATGTTTTCTGAGAAACACTAAGTGCCCTATTTGTTTTTCATAACTTCCACTATTTTCTCAAAATTGCTAGATTGTGCTCGGACTTGTAAAATACCACTGTTTGGTCACCACTTATCCGAGAAAAGGCCTTAGAAGTTGGAAGGCTTGACAATTTAGAACATGTCATAAGATTAGTGGAGTGAAGGATGGTTGGACAAAACTGGATGGCAAAACTTCAAAAATATTGCTCCAATTTTGCACCCAAAAACATTTTTAGTTGCGATGAGATGGCCTTATGTTTTAGATCATTTTCTCATTAAAAATTTACTGTTGTTACAGAGGAAAAGTTTCAAAAGAGCATTTAACTTTGCTCTTATGCAAAAGTATGCTCGGTGAATTTGAAAAATGTGATCATATAAAAGGGTAAAAATCTTCAGTGTTTCAAAGGCGTCAATCTCTTTTAATCCCCATTGTGACCCATCTTGTAATACAAAACATTTTTTTCACTCTTATCTCAAAACTGGGCACTTCTGTATAGCGGACAATATTCCTCATATCCGTTAGAAGGAAGTATCATTGTATATCAAACCAACACTGATAAACGTTTTTATTATTTATTTATACATTTTCAAATCAACATACCAGTAAAGGAGAGTGCATCTATGGGTAACGAGCCCCTGCGTTTTGTTGATGTTGAATCTTTTTGTCTAAATGTTTCCGGTCCGCCAGAAGACCTACGGCGTAACATTTTCTTTGACCGACGTTTTTTCCTTTCTTCTTCGGTTAATGAGTTACCTCCTGAAACAATTGCAGAATGTTTATTTTTCGCAGAGAAACGCCGAGTATGGTATCTCAATATGTTTTTAAAGTGATTAAAGTGTGTGACTAAAGAGAAAAATGTACAATTACTATGACCACAATTTTTACTTATGTTATGAGAGGTGTAAAATATAGAACAAACACTTCGCTAAGTGAGCTGCTAATAAAGCAATTCTTACTATTAAAATTGTTGTTGAACAGAAATGAGAAAAAAGTGATTAAAGCAATGCTAGGTAAACACTATTATACATTCTTCTAAAGGCAATTTCCATTTATGAGCTAGCAGGAGTAATAATTACCAACAACTAATAATCTACTATTTCAAGCAAGTGTTATATAAATAGCAACAAAAATGAAAATTGTTATTCTCATAATTTATATACAATCTACACTTAATTGTTTATATTATCAATTAAATTAATTGCAGCCATTATTCTTATTACATCGAAGCAAAGCTAAACCTGCATTTGCTGACTAAAATAAGTTTCTAAATTTAACTCTTTTTAACAAAGATGATACATAAAATGATGTCGGGGGAGGGATTTTTTTTTTTTTTTACTTATCAACACGCCTAATCACCGCAGTAACATAAAACTATTTGAATAGATCAATAATTAACAGTATCAAAGTCAATAATTCAAGACATTATAATGTTTAAATTAATAATGTTAGTATTGATGAATGAAACACATTTGCTGACTTGATGTAGCTGTCATTGATTTGAAAATGTTTTTCGTTTTTTCTTTCTTTTGTAATTCAAACATACCTTCACCATCTAAGGATAAATTATGTTCGTATGTTTCCATTTTGTCTTGACATGCTTCTGAAATAACACATCATTAACATAATTTTGTAATATCTCTTTCGTTTTATAAGTCATAGACTTACTGGCCAAGCAATGATTGGATGGCCTGTCCTTCATCAAAAGCATGTTACTGGTTAAATCATGATTACAGATTTCTTAATACCACATGTACATCTGTTTATTTATTGTATAAAATTATGAATTACATTATAATCAAGGCTTCCTTGAAAACATTCAGAATTTTTATAAGAAACACACCGCCCATTTTTTAATTCTATTGAATTAATTGGAAGTTTTTAAGGTTCACAACAGTACAAACAACTGTAGGTGAACTTACAAATTAGTACGGGGGGGAGGGACATTGCTTTGCAAGAGTGATTAGAGTGAGACTAACTTAAAATATTGAGTCTTGAAAATTTCTTATCTTAAAAAAGTGACAAAGAAAAATCGTGCCTTTATTACAAAATACATTGATTTAATTTATATATAAGAAAATTACAATCAAATCTTGCAAATGGTTATATCGTTCAATGTGGAGAAATTTTGGTATTTCATGCAACGTTTTATCTTAAATTTAGCATGCATCTCTTTAAAATTGAAAGTTTGTCACAATGCATCGTACCAATTGATTAATGTATGTTTACCTTTGTCGCCTCACTGAAGCTGGGAGCATTCACAATCGCAAGAGCTAAATCATTCACAAAATACCATTCAATATTTATAAAGGGACAGGCCGATAGGACAAAAAGCTTTGGTAAAACCGGTAAACCTTATCTACTTAATTATTCATTTTTAGTATTGAAAAAATAAAATAATAAACTGTTATCAAAATACACCAACAAACTTCGCAAGCATTCAATTTTGTTATTGACAGTTAATATGTACAACATACTTAAAAGCTTCACCGCCAGATAACGCAAGTTCACAGTATAAAAGCCTCGAGTGTCTTTTGCTCTCTTTAAAATACATATTTTATATATATTTTTTAAACAAAAACAATAAATTAAAATTATAGAACAGAAAATAGGAATGCCAAAGCTTGAAAGCACATAAAGTATCAATTTAAGTGTCAAGTTGGTCAAACGATATAACCATTTTCACACTAGATATCCTACTGTTAAGTTAAAATGAAATATTAATTTTTATAAAATGAAATGAAAGAACTTTTAGATTTTAGCAATTAAAATTAATAATAAAAAAATATAAAAAATAGAAAGAAACTGAGTGTGGGTCAATTTTTATTGATGTATTTTGAAAATCCATATATAATTCTATCAGTAATGAAACAAAAAAAAAAAAATAGGGAAAGGGAGAAAGTTGTGAAATTCTTTGGAGGCGAAGGAAAAAAAAATTAGTTACCTTATTTATCTTTTCTTCTCTCTGAAAGTTATTTTCAAAACAACTGAGGCCATGCAAAAAGCATCTTCATAATTGCTAGTAACTCAATAAAGCAGATGTGTATGTTTAAAAAGACCCGGATGAATTTATGAATAAAAGCAATCTAAATGTTTCATGACAAAATGTAATTTTTGTATCGTAAATGGCCCTGTTCAGCAATAACCTGAAAAGGTTATTTAACATGATTTATGTCAAGGTATTATGTGCATTAATAGACGATTCGTAAGGAATCTTTATTTAGTAGTCATAATTGACTTATTAATTACTTTTTAATTATTTGTACTTTTTATTTAAGGTCTTGGTTGAGATGAAAGAGGTAGTGAGCGGGATTCGAATCCATTGAAAATAGAGCAAAACGAGGGAAAATTTGAAAGGTTTTAGGTTGGGATGAGGAGTTGGTGTCTGAGCGGATTGAAGTCACAGTAGTTCAAATGGTTAGAGGAGTGTGTGTTGAGACAAAGATCAAGTTCGAATCTCACTCATGACACCAGCTTTTTCATCTCAGCCAAGACCTTTAATAAAATGTATAGTTAATTAAAAATTTAACATTAACGTTACTAATCTGTTAATCTAACCATCCCTTAATCTTTATTGAGTTATCATAGTTTCATGTAAAAGTAAAATAATGAATGTTTTCAGTTAAATGATAAGTATCAACCTATAATCGAAAATTGTCTGGACCGTTTAGTGGACTCATGAGAAATTATGACACTCAGTTTCTTCATTGTTCATTTATTTAAGTTAAACCGTCGAAATGGCATCAGTGGGTAACTTGTGTGTCATGATGGGAAGACAAAAATAAAAAATAATGAAAAAAAATCAGGCTAAACGCCAAGTTAATATATGAGGTTGTTATACTGTGAATTCAATCCAATCTTGGCGGATGTGGGCGACAGGCCTACTTGAAAGTGAACATCGCCTACTTTGTTGTCTTGCTATTGTCGTCTCATTTGGCATTGAACCCCTTCTCGAACTTGGTATAATACTAGTAGGATCACAAGGTGGAAGCCCGACTGGCGCTGACCCTCTTCTTTTCCACAAATTCTATAAACAAAAATAAATGTCTCAAGACTGGAAACAAATTTATAAACAATAAAATATATTTTATTTCATGTTTATGGATAAACATAATAAGGTAGAAATGTTATGAGTTTCATTTGATATGTTACTTAAATTTAAAAATGGCTTTAATGTTTATCTAGACATCTATGTCAAAAAAAGTCTTTTATCCCTGTTACAATGTACGAATGCTTTTCGATTGCACCATTGTTTGGAAAAAGGTTGTAGCCTGAAGGAGCAAGGTCAGGATTTTACTAAAAGGTGTACCCATTTAGTAAAGTTTTTAAAGTTGTATGTCCTGTTAAAAATTTTCTCTTTATTCACCAATGCTGGACATGGCCTATCTGAAGTCTTATACATACGTAGCAGCACTGAATAAATTTCTTAAGGAAAAAAACACGTAAGCTAAGTGGATGTCTTTCAAAATTACAAATAACTTAAGGGGAGGGTCTAGTTTTGGCTTGCCTTTATGGATTTTAAGCAGTTAAAAAACATTTGTAATGTGAAGACCTGAATTACTTTTTTATCGCCCCAATGATGGATTTAGAAGAAAAGCCAATCCTGATGAATGATCGACTCTCCGAGATATTCGTCTCTCTCATCTTCCCTCCCTCAAAATCTACGACTATGGTTTTTATTTTCTAGGGGAACAGTCTGGGCTCGTTCTATCAACTATGTCAGTAAATCCACTTTTTTTGCAGTGTTACGGCCCTTCGGGTCGTCTCGAATTTTATTTCCCTAAAATGGGTTTAAGATAAAATAAACGATCTCAAAACAATTGCATGCAATCTAAAAAACAAAACAAGATAAAATAATAAATAAATTTAAAAAAATTCTCCTATTAAACAAAAGTGAAGTTTTTGCAATCCCAAGACTTTGCTGATTATACAGATATTGACACAGTCAAAACTAAACAATATATCTTTATAATTTTGCGTTAATTAATAGTTAATAAGAACAGGCCAAAATATTCAAGGTATCCAGGGCCTTCTGAACAGATCTAGATCTTGTGTATACCTGAAGGGTCTAAGATAGAATCACCAGATGGTATTCCTCGTTTAACGCACAACACCGATCCGTCCTTAAGTTAACAAGGCTGGCCACATAGATCAGTAAACGACCATCCAGTTTGGAATCTTTGCCTTCCTGTTCTCTGTGGTAACCATCATGATTGATAAATCGGACCAGGTCTGTGTCCTCGAGGTTGTTGTATCCACCTGGACCTGTATCCATCAATATAGAGTCTGCTTAGAAGTGCATTGTCAGTATAAGAGGTGTGCTGGATGCTGGATTGGCAGGTTGGCATACAGAGGCTGGTAGTATTACAATATCAGATAACAATTTCTCTGGTGAATTGTTACTGCTTGACTTTTGAATTACAATAGATTTCCTTTCTTTCAGACTAATGCCTCTAAGTTCTGCCTTATGATATTGTCTATCTAATGTATTTTTTTTCCTCCCTCACTACCAAGCAAGCAATACAAGTTCTCTTAGAACAGAGCACACTCCTATGAAATGAAAAGTGCCCTCTAGGACAATGTGGTTGCGGAAGGGGCAGATGATGGCGAGGTCCTGATTCCACAGTTGACAGTTCAGTTGGAGCAAATTCATCTCTCGCTCGTAAGGCCAAAGATACATCATAAGTTGTCATACAATTCATCAAGTTTCGGTCTAAGTCTGAATCCAGTATTGCGTATAAGTTGTGATGTAAGCTATTTCTTGTACGGATTACCAGTTCATTCCTTTGCTTGCTTTCAACTTTTTAATCAGGATAGTGGTATTAGAGGACTTAAGTTTCTCCCTACTTACACCTACACTATAGAGCCTATCTAACTCTGAAAGCTTATACCACAATATACCTTTATTTATTGCCATGTCGACCAAAAACTGTGTCAGTCTAGTGTGTGGTTCAGTACTTTACTAATACATGTCAGATGCAGACTTATGTGACTGAGCTCCTCAATATATAAGATGCAGTCTGAGGTGGTAATGGGCAAACAGAAAAGTTTCTTAGTAGAGTATTTCTGAACTTTTTCTATTTCCTCCATGTATAAATAACCCATAAAAAAGTAACATGCTACAGACCTCAGGGTGCTATTTAATATCACCATCTTTTTCTCTAGTGAGGTACACACCAATTTTTTGGGTAGGGCAACTATTGCCTGCAAAATCACCTTTTGAAAAGAGAATACAAGTTTAAATTTGAATGAGCGTACAGACGATATTTGCCTTTAACCTTGCTTTCATCCAACAATGGCTTATGTTAACAATATTGACAAACGTATTACGTAAAAATTGAAGATGTTCATTATGAAGTGTATAGGTAAATACAGCTCCATTGTTTGTGTTTTAAATTGTGAAAAATATTACAGATTAAAATATGCAATTAAATCCAAGTCAGGTATTACATCTATGAAAGTAATTTTTTTAAATTATTATTATTTTATTTGTACATAGGCACGCTATTTGGTGAATGCCAAGAAGAGTGTCTTGGACTTGGCAACTATTCAGCAGAAATCTGCATTTGGTGAATACAGCATTTCTGGAGTCGCCTTTACCTGGCTCATCAAGTCCCATTGTTCACAACAAATAGTTGCAAAAAAAGTGTATGAACAGCAATAACATTGGTAGACATAACAGGAACAAATTGTAAACATTGTTAAACAATGTTAAAAAAAAAAGTCGTTTGAAAACGGGAGTTTTTTTGCACTGGAATGACCAGATTCTGTCAAGAGAAGAGGGTGCCCTTGGGAAGGTTCAGTCAGGTCGGGAAGAGGCCGAAGAAACATGGGTGGTCTTAGGAAGCCGAAGGAGGCCCAGCCAGGGCTCAACGGGGACATTGGTAATGAGTGGAGCCCAGCCGGTGAGGATAGTCGAGGCTCACGCTGGAACGTGTCGGTGTAGATGAGTCGAACAAAAAAAGGGATTACTGTTTTTTTTTTAATCTGAAAACTTCTTGCTCAAGAGTTCGCATGTGCAAAAGCTGAACCGAACAGAGAGGGGAGGAAAGGACTAGGACAAGGTTCGGACTTTTATTTTATTGTTTTCCGAAGGGAGCTTGTTTTGTTACTTGTTTTTTAAATATAGAGGACATTGTTATTTACTTTTTATTTTTTAATTTGATCTTGAGGGTTCACTTTCCCAAAAAGAGAAAAACACTGTGGCACCCGTTTATTATTATTATTTGTTATTTATTTTTTGGAGAAAAGAAATAGTCACAGGGGGCGTTGGTGACCGCAACGGTTTAGGCGTTGACATGGCGCTCATCACTGTAAGGTAAAGGTCCCGGGTCTGAATCCAGTGGCCCCGCATTCAAACCCGACATACAAATGGGCTTTTTTTCAATAACACCGGCACCCTGAGGGTTTATATGACCTCTGCCGTTGCAAACCCTCGTAAAAAAAAAAAAAAAAAAAAAAAGAGCCCCAGGTACCCGGAGACCAGGTGGATTGTCAACGGTCCAAGGAGAAACCGGTAACATCTGTTTTAAAGTTAAAAATATTATATTAATAATACCTGCGGGACTGATCGTCGGATTATTTTTGTAACATCAGGATCGACATTTTCTTTCTCTTTGGCCAATAAAGGTTTAGTGTCTAGGCAACGTTCACCTCCACTCGAGTCTGAGCTAGAACTACCCCTCAACTCTCCAGTAGCTGATAGGTACCTCGGCCTTATGTAAGGCTGGAAAATATTCAATCACTAAAAAATTCAATCAGGAGAAATGAATGTATTAAAAAGGAATACCTGGACAGGTGGGAAGGTTTGCTGTCTGGTCAATCTTCCTTGCAATGAGGATGATGTGGATATGTTTCCATGGAGGATTGACGTCAGTTTCTGTACCTCACTAGAAGAAGTCATAGATGCTATTGATACATCTGGCAACAATGCTTCTGAACTAACAGGTCTGTCATCTGTGTTACTTCCACCTGAAGAACGCCTCAGGGAAGAACAGGAAGAGACAATAGAAAGCTCGTCATCTTCATCAAACATTGGGCTAAACCTTTTTCTACTAAAATGTTAGCACGGTTTATATCATTTATCAAAGAAAAAACCCACAGATAATACCTTGGATCTGGCAAACTTTCTCTTCGGGAAGAATTTTGTCCATTAGTTGATTTTCCACTAACACTAAGAGGCACTGAATGTCTCCTTTTTTCAAATGTCCTACTTGGGACTGTTAATAAAGAACAACGACGTTCTTCGACATGCTGTATACTACTTCCCACCTAAAAAAAGATTTAGGGTAAAATTTTTTTAAGTTTTGAACATAAAATAAAAAAATAACCAATTTACCTCATCGGGTATTTCTTCAGCCTCCGATATTTCTGTTCTAGTTTCTTCAGCAATTTCTTGTTGAATCAAATTCTCCCATTTTGACTGATTGCTTTTTAGATACTTCATTAAATCCCGTGAAAGTGGCGTGTCTAAGAACCGATGCCATTCCTTATATAATGGTTCGACAACAAATCTGAAGAATCCTGCATTACATAAACAATTAATAATAATAAATCAGCAAGTATTATGACATGCATTTATTAGAATTAGAACAAGAAATTACTTAAAGCATTTTATCAGGAATAGGTCTGTGGATGATAAGTCAAGTGACAATATAACCCGAGACAATTCAGCATATCCTAATGCCGAAGACTAGCCCAAAATGAGTATTTGTAACATAAACAGGCAGCAAGGGTAGTATTCACCGAATGCCGAGCAAAGGTTTGCTGAATCCCGACTAGGAACAAGTGCTTGATTATTTGCAGAGCAACAATATTTGATGCTTGCCTTGATCGGCTAATTGTCGGTTTGCTTGTCTTTGTGCACGAATATTCGTGAAGTAGCTGAACTCAAAGCATCCACACATTCAGGTATCAACTATACTGTACAATCAATTGTAATCATCAGTCAACAGTTCTTATCTACTGCTATTTATTTCTGTTGGTTAAGAATGGGTTGGCCCAACATAACAGTCTTGGAGTTCCTCAACCTCGAATCAATAATTTCTAATTCTAATCAATAATAACAAGGGTTTCAATGCTTGGAAACGGATCAAAAAGTAAGCAGGGGCAAAATCGTACTCTGTGACTGAGTTTGCAGCCACTACATCAAACAGTAATCGACAGTTTCACTGCTGTCCATCACGATTTGTCAGGAATCACATGGCTGTTTCCACACAAACTGTGTGGTTGTAAAAACCCCTAATGGATGTTGTAGGCACATAATTGACCGAATGCCGAGATGAGCATCTCGAGACTTGGTAAACATTCAGCGGCAAGCCACCTTTAGACTATACATGACATGGCAGTGCTAACAGACAAGACAGAGCACTGCAATATGCTCTGACATAGTACTTCACAATAAAAACAAAATGCTCATATGTCAGATCAGGAGGTAGTGGGAAGAGAAACCAACCTGTGCTGGAAGAAGCCTGTTTGGATAAAATGTTTCAAGAATGGGATTTTAAGATCTTTATGGATCGTTTGATTGGTGATGTAGAAGGGAGCACTGAGGCTACAGCGGAGAACTTTAGATTGAAAGGATTGAATTCGTTGGATCTTGGATGATTTGGCCGAGCCCCCACAGATCAACTCTGTAAGTCCAGATAGGTCGGATGAGTGTTTTGTAAGCGATTAGTTTGTTATGGTTAGTGTTGATTTTTGTCCCAGTAGGTGTCTGCAGTCCAAATCTTTTGTTAAGTTCTTGGCATTTTAATCTTGTATGTTTCAGACTTTTCCATGGCCCAACCAGGGGATGTAAGTGGTTTTTATCCGCATCTTTCTGAAGCATCCGAATCGGGGTGGTGTTGCCCAAATGTCAAATGTCTGTACTTAATAGGTGCACTTCGGCCGACCGTTCGGCGGTGGCCTGGTCTGGTTCCATTCTGGCGGGATCTTGGACTTGGACACTACTCACGGGACTTTGGCTGTATGCTAAGAAGGTGAGGGAAAAAATCTTGTATGTGGGTTCTATGTAAGTCTGCTATCTAAGTAATGCCCAAGATAGTGGACTTGGTTTGAAGGTGGTACTATCTTATTTTTTATGTGCAGGTTTGACAATTAATCATAAATGTAAATAAATAATAATAATGGGGATAAATATACTAGACACTCGTTATATGCAGGGGATACGTTCCAAGCATAACGTGCATCTCAAAAGGGCATACGATGTGAGATCAACTTCCACGAACGATTCATAATCACATATTTCTGTCCTTCCTTAGTGTCGTAACTCGCTGAGATCCATTATCAGGCCTCTTATTGGCACTTTCAGTCTCTTAGAATCGGGCTAAAGCTCGGGAGACCACGTTCTGAGAAATGTCAACTGCCTCTGCAATATCCATTTGCCGATGACCTCGACGACTCATTCTCACAATAATATTGCAAACTAATGGTTCAAAATGATGTCTTTTCATGGTTAAAGATAATTCAACTGGATTAAAATGGAGAAAAGACAAGAAAAAGTGTTTCTTTACAAAATGAGTCCCTAATCATTTTAGCACAGTTTGGAATGTAACTGCGGATGAGTTAAAGCTCGGATAACGAGAGTCTACAGTAATAATAATAACCCTTTTGGCTTAACTGTACGCTATTTTGTTATACTAATTATTAACTAAAACTATTGTAATAAATTAATATTGATAAAATTACCAGCTTGAATTTTCGGCACAGAAGTAGTATGTCTATCACAAAGTGCAGTAACTGGAAGATTTAACTGACGTTCATAATCACCTTGCCTAAAGAATTCTTCACAAACCTGTCAACAGATAATCTATATAATATATATTTATATAAGCAGACAAACTTTCTTTCAACATATACTTTGCAGATGGAAATGTCAAAACAAGCAAAAAGATAAATCCTGTGACTATGACACTGAAAAAAGGTTGCTGTTGGATAGTTCTATTCCGAAGATGTAGTTTACATAACAGCTGCTCCTTGAAAAGATTGTGCTACCTTTTGTGATCAGTTTAAATCATCTACAATTTCATTCACACATTTTATTAATTCTTGTGCAGTTGTCTCAACTGGCATCAGTGCAATGAAAAGTCAATCTTGAAATTATCAAGTAGTAATTTAAATACATGGTTTATTGTGTATAGCATGATAAATGTTGAAATTATTGAAACCCTCGCTTCCTAGTAATCCTTATCATCACTAACCAATGGCATTGGCAATAAAAAAAAGACTTGTTAAACAAAACTTAAACTTCACATGTCTGGAATTAACTATCCCAGATAGTTACATCAACGACCACTGCTTTTACTTTCAGGTAAAATCTGTCAGAGGTCAAAGGGGTGATGCAGTCAAGCGTTGTGCCAGGAAGAGCTAATGAAAACACATTCGGCTTCTCTGCATCGTAAATCGTATGCAAGCACTTCTGAAAACTGAGGAAGGCTTACAGCCCGAGGGGCAAGCACAGAACAATATAGAGAGGCAGTGAGGTTCCTTGGCCTCTTGTTTGATCAAATTTTAAGATGGTAATGAATCTATAGTATACGTATGATATCATTGAGGGGATGTTAAGAAAAGAAATAGCTTTATTAAAGTCATTAGTAATTTCAGGTGGAGGGCCAATAGGGAGGAGACCTTACTGAAGATTTTTAAATCTGCTGTTCTCGATATTATTTTATGGCCTGCTTTTCAGTTCACAAATCATGATTGAAGAAGCTTGATAGAGTAAGGCCTAAAGGGTAAATTTAGAACAAGCCCATTGCCGTTGCGATGAGCTGGGAATGCTGCCTCCTCTTAACCTCAGACAGAGAGCAGCATACTTTCACATGTGCGGAGAACTTTTGGCCAGACCAGGACATCCACTTTTAGGCGCTATCAATTTCGCACCAGGCTGGAAGCAAAAGCCCTGAAGACCCATACTGGGTTCTTCCAGCCGTTCCCATCTGGACTATTTGCTGCATTAGCTAAGTCATCTACATCTCCAAGCCTCAACCGAGCTAAGTACATTCTTGAACTTAGATATCTAAGAGGCTGTGGCATGTGCTGTGTATAATGAAACTGTGTCAAATGAGCAAATATCCGATAAACATTGTGCTTTATCATACCATGTAGTCTTTCGGTGGCCTAGAGAAGAAACCAAGATGCTATTCAGATTATAGTTATCTCCTATAGTATTATTAAATGTGTTTTGCATTGTATTCATTAGCATGAATTTTTTTGGGCCATTGTGTTTGAATAAATTTTTGTACAGTAAACACAAGTAATTCCCTTCATACAGATGGGGCTCAACCTTAACTTTCAACTACCCTATGAGCATCCAACCACCCACCTTTAGTTTTTTTCTTCATATTATTCTTACTTAAAATTTCACGGGCTATATCGAGCAAATACAAGTCAGATGCCCTAACCAATCAGCCACCATAGAACCATATTTTATACATAAACAATATTTTGGAATCATTAATTTATAAAAAGATTGCACGAGCAGTAATTTGAAAAAAAATTAATATACCTTTAGTGACCATTTTTTGCTGATATCCCATGGTCTACAGGGATTTGAAATGTCTGCACATTTCAGGGCGATTTGAAGAATGAAATGCCGATCCTCACTTTTCTTCATATCAAGACTCTCCTCATCAAGGAAATTCTAAACAAATCCGATATAAAGTATATTAAATGTTTCAAATAATAAATAGGACCATTTGGCACAACTGATTACCCTAAATTTAGTTAGAAATTCTTGTTGTCTTGTAATATCTGTTGCGAGGATTAAGGAAGCGATTTGTTTTTCTAGTTCCGGCCTGACACTCACTACTTGTTCTGCCAAGTGACTCTCGAGCAAACAACCGATAGCAGATCTCCAATGATGATTCTCTAGCACCGAAGTGTTCTGAAACACAGTCAAATTAAACTCTTATTGTCAGTTGAAAAAGTTGTTAACTGACCTCATAAAGAGCGGCTAAATGGTTGGAAGTTGCAATAAGGAAAGGCTGATTAACACCTGGATGGTCTAAATCGTGAGTCACAGCAGCTATTAACGCTGACAGAATCTCTGTGTAAGTTAAATATCTCCTAATCTGGAAAAAATCATAGAAATATTGAAAGTATTTAAAAAAAAAGTGTTTTATACACAGAGATGGTACATTAGACTTATCTATCTGTCAGGTATTATTATATAATATTACATTATTACATATTAATTATTGTAAATTAGAATCATATCCTGAAAGTTAATGAACTTTCATGTTTGACTGGGCAATTGAAAGGTATTAAATTCAAAACAAGACAATTACACTTGAAATATTAAATATTATCAATACTAATAAACTTTTAATAAATTAAACTTTAATAACCAGTTAAGAGTACCTGCAAGAAGACAATGCAGATATATTGAAAATTATATATAATATACAATTCACTAGTTTTCGTGGTCCGCTTGACCAATTAATATCTTTCAATTAATTAAGGTTTTTAGTTGACATAAAAAAACGGCAAAAAGGAGGGAAAATTAAAAAAGGTGGAGTTGGGATGGGAAGTTAATGTCCGAGTGGATCGAAATCACGATAGCTCAAGTGGTAGAGCAGCGGCGTATCTAGCCGAAGGTCGTGGTTCGAATCCCACTCGTGACCCTGACTTTTTTTATCTCAATTAAAAACCTTAATTAATTGGATAATATACAATATTGTCTACCTTTTCTTCTTGGAGAAAGCAATGCATTGCTTGAGTGACATCAGTTGCATGTATTGCATTATGGTAAGGGTTTGTACTATGATAACCCTCTTCTACTAAACCTACAAATTGAAATTACTTAATTAGTTTCATATATTTCACTGAGAAAAACCTGTTGTCACTTACTAAAAAATTTCCATATTCTAACAACATCTAAGTTAAAATGGTCAATAAGGCCATACCAATGAAAAAGATGAACACATAAAACTGGCAGTGATCTACCTGAAAGTAAGTATGATAATTATTTACTATGTACTTTGTTTTAACTGGTCAACATGTCTCTATTTGGTTGAAACGTTTTTAAATGAAAATGCAAGATTTCCAAGAAAAGTTACAGTTGATTACAAAGATAAACTATTACATGAATTAATTAAATTAAACACTTACCACCTGTAGCAGTATCTAAAGTAAAGGCATTAAAAGGCCATTTCCAAACCCTGTCCAAGACACACTGCAATTGGTAAGTTTTTTATGTGTAATGAAACTTTATTTACAGTAATATTTAAATTACTAATTTCAAATTAATTTGTAATTTAATGATAAAAGGGCAACAACTTCCTTACTTGCACTTGCCCGTGATGAAGGTCATCAAGAAGTGCAGTATCATGAAGAGAACGTGTCGTCAGCCTTCTCCGGCGTCTTTTATGAATTGTAAGAAATTTTCCTGTCTTCCAACCTCGGTAATCAAGCGCTGCCACTAACTGTACTTCACTATTGGAAAGTCGCTTAGAATCACAGTAAAATTTATCATCTGAAATAAAAAATTAGCAAATAATAGAAAAACTATTTAATATTATATAAGAAACTAAAACATAAAAATTACTTATTGACTGAGAAAAACCTAATTAATTTTTGAAAGTATATTTGTTTTGTAACGATGGACAGTAATGGATTTCAATGGATCCTCGATAGCGTTCAATGAAGTATGTAAAATAATAGGATAAGAAAATCATCAATGTAATCAGTATAATCATCATTATTGAGATCCTAATATACACCCTACAAAGACGGAGTAATATAATTATTGAAGTTTTCAGTCACTAAATGGTATGAATTTATTAATTCAAATATCTAAAGCTCATTAAAGTTTAAAGACAGAGCGTTCAACGAATAACAATTTATATCATCACTTTCTATAAGTGATAATTATTCCTCTCAAACAATTTCCGTTATGTTTGTGGCACTAGCATGTTAATTAGGCAGCATAAGTAGGCAATGTAATATTTTTAAACATCAGGCCCAATCTATTTGAACTAAAACACACTTTTAGTTATCACTTTCCTTTATCTTTTTGTAAATAAAACAATTTTTCTTTTTTCAATATAAAAAAATGCATTTAATCAAATTTACCAGGTTATACATAGGTTGTCATACCAAGATCACACACGGGCACCTTCCATGGGGTGAGACCATGTAAGTGCCCGTTGTGTGGAGAGCTTATCACGGTAGAGCATGTAATAACAGAATGCAAAGGACTAAGTTTGCAAATAAAGAAAAAACATCCCAAATGACCAATGCACGGCCTTAAAGCACATCAGCATGCACTGTTCACTGATCCAATATCTAAGGCCATCTATCTTTAATTGTATACAGATCTTTGTACCTACGTAAGCGATATTTATTGAAACAAATTTATTTATCTGTGTGAATAGAGGAGGTTATCCCCAATTACCCCGAAGAATATCGACTACTCTGAGGCTGTGCGAATGTAGCCTGGTATGTGTAAATGTAATTTATTAGCGTGAATAGAGGGGCATATCCCCAATTACCCCAAGGAATATCGAGTGGTCTTTTATCTTGTTTCTTTTTATTTGTGTTATTTTATCCACAATTGGTGCGGCCCTGAGGTCCAGTCCTAGCAGTAGGCAATAAAGAAAAGGGTTATCGTTATATCATGAAACATCATAACAGTTGGCTGGAGAAACAGAAAAAGAAATTAGTAAGTTTAAATAGCGAGAAAGATAAGAAAACAAATGCAAAGCTAAGAAAGGGAGGGCTGGCAATGACCAATGTAGTTTTCTGGCACTAAAACTAAATATAAATGCACATACTCCCTAAATGAACTCAAGGAAAGAGCATCCGTAGACCCATTGATAAGAAAAATGTATGAACAACTGAAATGGATCAATGCCAGTGGGAAAAGATCATCCTGGCATTGGTTCCATTGCACATTGCTATAACCAGGAATGAATGAGCAGATAAAGCAGCGAAGTTAGCCCCGACGAGACCACACGACCCCACCCACTCTGTAGCTTCAGCGGAGTTACAAAGAACGATTGCTAATGCTATAAAATGAATGGAGAATGCATTGGAACGAAAGTAACACATCTAAATTATATAAATGAATATAAGACCTAAGGAAAAACGTTTTGGTCTTGCCAATATCACACAGAGACTACTTCTAATTGACATGAGACCACGTAGATGCCTGTTGTGTGGAGAGTTGATCAAGAACATAACAACAGACTACAAAGAACTTGTCTGCAAACAATGAACTACGACATCCCTAATCACCTATGCGCCTTGAGACACAGCAGAAGGCACAGTTCACTGAATCAATATCTCAAGTTCATAAATATCTTTATTTGTGGGGCCTGTATATAGATCTTTGTACCTTCTTGTATGCAATATATGTTATTTATTGGAATGATTGTATTTATTTGCATAAATCCTCAATCACATCGAGGAATATCGTCTACTCTGGGGTAGTGTGAATGTAGTCTGGAGTGTGAATGTAATTTATTAGCGCGAATGGACGGGTTATCCCAAATTTCCCTAAAGGATATCGAGTGCTGTTGGGTAGTGTGTATCTAACCAGACCAACATGTTTTATCTAGTTTCCTTTTATTTGTTTGTTATTTGTGTAATTTTATCCACAACTGGAGAGGCGGTTACTGTTATTACTGTTATATCATGAAACATCATAACAGTTAGCTGGAGAAAGAATAAAAAAATGAGTAAGTTCAAAATGCGAGAAAGACAAGAAAACAAAAGCAAAGCTAAGAAAGAGAGGGCTAAGATGACCGCTGTAGTTTGCCGGAAAAAACAACATATATATNATATATATATTTTTATTCTTTCTCCTTTCATCTACAATCAAGGTGACTCATACGATACAGATAACTCGGGTTAAAACACATTATAATATCTATAAAAGTACATAACACTATCAATTATTTGTAGCCAGAAAAAAACGTGTTAGCTTGTTAGATAGAAAACTCTTAGTGTGTGATTAATGTCACGTCGTCGAACTGTTAAGATTTTAACTTAGCAGGCAAGCTTTAAAAAATGGTTAAACGTTATTTTTGTTTGCGTACCGGTTTAAATGCTTGTAAGGATGATTATTTTAACAGAACTATTTCACCTAGATGGGTGATGTGTACACAATGATGTTTGCCCAAAAATGTATTCTTAACGTTCGGTAAATACGAGTTATGTATATGCTAGTTTAAATTTTTGTTTAGAACCCACATTTTAAGAGCTCGCAGAATCGAAAATATAACTGAGAATGAGAAAAAGTTAACGAGGCGATGGCAAAACGACTGTCAATAAGTGGTTTCGGAGAAAATAGGGATGTGAAACTGAAGGTACTTTGTTCGATTGGGATTTCAATATTGTTCAAAATTTACGTCATTGATTAAATTGGGCTGCAATAAAATCGAATAAACTGATGAATGATGATTCACGGTGTAAATTTGTCGTAATTCCAGATATTCTCCTTAAGTTGGTTAAACGTTTTAATTAATCAAACTCAATCTAATTTCGTTCAATATTTCAAAAAATTTCATTTATAAGTAATTATTGACAACTGATAGTGTCCTGTACAACTCTTCTTATGAAATACAACTCCACGACAGGTTCAAGGATTTAGCATGCACATATACAATTTTTTTTTTTTTTAATTACAAGTTCTTATCTAAAAAGAGAAGGAAAATACTGAAATAATCGAGCAAATGGGCAAGGCTGGACCATTTTTTATTTAAGACCCTTTTCGACCCTAACTCCAGCGAAAGCCTCCCCCCCGTACGAGGCCGATGGCCATAAGAGTCAATATTAGCGGCGCGGAAAGTAGAGCGAACCAGGTGGAGGCAGAAAAGCTACCCCTATTTACTCCCCTCCTTCATTCGATGGGACATGGCAAAATTAAAGAAAAGCAACATCTCCCACTTGGTACTATATAAAGTAACGTTTGAAGCCCTAAAATATGAATTTGATGACAAAAATAAAAACCATAGCTTTTTCTTTTTATATAACCATTCGTTCAGTGCAGTTCAGAAACATAGAAGAGCCTCCGTGGACCCTCTACAAAATAAGATAAAAGAACTGTTAAAAGGGATCGATGCAGTTGGGAAGGTCTCGCTGGCACGGGTTCCCTGTCACGTAGGGATCTGGGATAGCCTGGAACGAAGAACCACCCAGGGCAGCCGAAGAAGGCGCCGGAAGACCCCACCACTATGCCCGCTTTTAGCTTCAAATACAGAAAAAGTAGAATGGAAAAAACCACTGAACTCGTAAAAATAGAAATCACTGCCTATCTGAGGGAGGTTGAGAAAGGCATCGGTCCCTGGTCCATGTGTGAAAAGGACAAGACTGCGCATAGGTCATACAAGTACAATTCACAGGCACCTTTTGGCCGGAAAGTAACCTCGTAGGTGCCCGTAATGTAAAAATGTAACGGTCGTGCACTTTTCAATTGTAGAAGGCTTGACGTTTATAGGCAAAATGTTGATATATCGTCGGACCTGTATTACCTTGGGGCACAGATTGCTATTCCGGAACCTCAGGGCTATAGGGATTTTTAAATATACATTGTATAAATTGTGTTTGTGTTTATGTTAATTTATTGGAATGGATGTAATTTATTAACGCGAAAGGAAGGGGTTGTTTAACCCCGACCGAGGAATATCGAGTGCTCTGTGGCAGAGAATTTGACTGATTATTATTTTTTCTGTCTGTATTGGGTGATGATGAATATATGTATTGTATAACTAATGTCTATTCTGCAGTTGACAACCTTAGTTACAAATAAGAGGCTAGAATTTTAGGACATCGACTTAGTTTTTATACAATAGCAGTCAGTGACAGGACTAGACGATCAAATGCTGCAGGTTGAAAAATACGCGTCAGAGACCAGGAAAAGAAGCACAAACACGCAAATGGCCGGCTATGACCTCAGATGTTTGTCGACTCCGAAACTTCCCACATTGTATATAACTTCTTACTTCATCACAGCAGATTGGATTATTTCAAGCCTTACGTAAGTTACATATTGAACACATATTTTTTCAGTTAGGATATTTTTTAGTGCGTCGCAGTTAGTTTGTGGTTTAGTGTTCATATTAATTGGTTGTCGTCCAAATTGGAACCATCAGTTATTCATTAAATCTTTCGGGCAAGGCGGCATTTTACGAAGTGGCCAATGTTCAATTCAAATTTTAATTACCAATTATTGTGCAGTTTATTATGATAAAAGCGACAAAGAAAATTGACAATTCGACGCAGTTGAAATATTGGCGATTCAGAAAACTGTTGCTTACTAAAAATATATGATAGAATCTAATAAAAACTCGCGCGTAGTCACCACCTGTTATGCTGTCTATCATAAAACTAAAAAAAACTCACCGAATCAATTTCTCGTCACGACTGTCTTCACCGATCGTTACGACCATTGTTATGATTGGAACTTCATCGCATTTAATACTTAATTTGTACAAAGCGCATTGTCCTCGATAGTTTGTGATAGTACAATAAAAACAGGATTGTTTATACAAAGTGAATAAAATTGGAATAAGTCCAAAGAACAAGTGGATCTCAAATAGACACAAAATGTCAGGAGGCGTTAAGCAATTTTCATTGGTCAATTTGAGCGTGTGGTCATTCCCTGTGGTCGGTTTAACAGTTTAAATTACATAAAATATAATTGGAATTTTGAAAGAAGTGTTTAGACACCTTTTTTCAAATAATGCAATTCGAGTTCAGTCCCAAGTTGTTACAGTCAATTTGTGGCTTTAATGAAAAAACTTGAATCCTTCGTACTTTGACAACTGGAATAAATTCCTTCATTACTTACTTCAAGGTCTACTTTATTTTATTTTTTGTATTGTTGAAAGGGTAAAAACAAACTGTCGAACAAGAAAAGTTGAGCTTCTAACTTTTAAATTGAAATTTTAACTGGCATAGAAGATGAGGAGGGATAATATGGGTTACGAAGAACCTATGTTTCCTAGAGAATTTTTCTTCAATTGGTCACACACACACGCGCACGCACACACGCGCGCACACACACACACACACACTCTCTCTTATTTTTCCTTCGCACTTAAAAAAGTATCTGTCCACCAGTGCACATATATTTAGGTAATTCCTCCCACCAACTGAATCCGCTACCGTGTGTTCTACTTGGGCAGCAGACTTAGGTGGAACACTCACAATACAAAGAAGACAAGAACCGAAGATAGTGACAACCCAGTCGCCCACTTGGACCCAAATCCACAATGAGTGCACACAATAAACTAACAATATACAAGACCCTAATTAGACCGATTTGGACCGAGTCTGTACGGTTCAGCCAAGCCATTCAACATCCAAAGAATCCAATAATCAAAAGTACTCCATCGCCTCCTCAATATTTCTTTCTATGTCACTAACCAAACCATCCACATTCACCTACACATCCCGTTCTTGACGGACAAGATCCAAACACGATTCCACAACATCCACACCAACCACGCTCTAGCCCTTCTTAGAAGCTCCACCCTAACAACCCTCCACACCGTATAAAACTTTAGTGGCCTCGTGACCTCCTAACACAACCCCAAACCTCAACCAACAATCCCAAATACTGAGAGTACCAGCAATGGCCGCTCCTCTCCTCCATCACCATCCCCGTGGTCTGACTAGGTCCTGCCAGAGCTTTTATTTATCGCAACCAACAAATTGGTAAATGTATAAATTTTTGTACAGAAAAAAATCCTTAATGAAAGTCATGAAATTTATTTATAAAACAATTGTTTAGCCAATTCATTTTAATATATTAAATATGTTGTGAAATTCTAGATTATTCCTGGAATACAATTTATTTTGTAAATTTTTTGAGCAAATGTCAACAAAACGTAGATAATACATTGGATAATAAAGTAAACGCATTTTTAATTATCATTCTTGACCGGACCGTCGAGATCAGGCTCTCTGATGCTAAATAAGCGGTAAATAATATGCTTAAAAAAGATGGCAGCGTCAGTGGGCAGGGTCGTCCAAGAGGCTTTTTCAGGTCAAGAGATAGGGGTATATATTCCGACTAAGAATAGGTCATACGCGGTTTACACACGGACACCTGCTCCTGGCCCAAAGGCCGCACATTTGCCCTTTGTACAGAAAAAGTTCGACGAGTTCCACAATAGAAGTTTCTCATTCCTTGACTCTATATAGCAAACGTGTAGGCATGCCTCCGGACATGAGAGTGGTTCTCGGATATAGTCACGTGTCCTCTATTCTGATTTTAGAGGAAAGTTTTTTTTAGTGTATATAGTTTGTTCATGTTATGTGAGTCTGTATTTTGTTTGAGTGCGTGTATTTATTAGTGCAAACAGTGAGGGGCTGATGAAATAAATCACCATCGCGCCTCAAGTAGTGTCTGAGCTTAGGGTTGATGAAGGGACATTTATTAAAGTACTCCATTGACTCTCACTTAGGTTAGTTTATTATTAATGTGTGTAGTTTAGTGGAGGAATGTCGAGTACTCCACCGATACCAGAGTGAGTGCAATGTACATTGATGTGAATGTATTTATTTGTGCGATTGTATTCTGTATGTTAGGGTATATAATATTTTGCATTCTGAAATGAACTTGCTGTCGAAAGCCCCTTGAGCCCAACTCCATTTTGGTATTTGGCTTAAGGGAGAGTCCTACCCAGGGGGTAGGTGAACTCCCCTGAGGTCGACCTTAGGTTCAGCACCTCAGGGAGGTAAAAAAAAATTATCATTCAAAAAGATTAATTTGCATTGTTCGTTGTTGTGTACGTCAATGAGTTGTTAATTTTTACTTAATCTGTATGAACGTTTTCTTTTTTTCAAAATTAAATTTCCAAGGTTGTTCTTGTCAAAGGACACTATTAATCAATAATATTTTCCAAAAGTAAAAACAATATTAAAGCACATAAAAATTATATTAATAAAAGTGTAAGATATATTTAACTATCCCATTTTTCCCTCAACAAATGCAATATAACAAATTTTCTAGTGCTGTAAATAATAGTTACAATAAGATCTTTGTTTATTAATTTAATCTAACTCGTTTGGCGTTTATAATAATAAACTTACGTTCTTCCATTCTGATAAGTACTGCGTTTGGATCTGATGTGTCCAAGGACGGTTGTGGCGATCCATGCTGGAAAAAAATCATTAAATCAAAATTAACCTCAATGTAAATTATATAACTTAGACAATTTGTTGTTAAACTAAATGTTTTAATTGCATTGATAATAACGTTACATTGTTAAGGAGCTTGTTATTATCAAAACACAATTTACCCAGGAACGCTTTGTTGGATCAGGAAGTTAGGAGTTTTGTATGTTCATGAACTGTTGTCAGCAGTTCAGTCTTTACTGGCCATAGGCATCTTTTAAACGATAAAAGTCAGTAACAGGATTAAGTTATACTATAAATCGATTAATAATAAACACACTCCATTCTAGCTAATAAGTTATTTTCACTCCCCGGAAGTTACACACTCAACCCAGTGTACTCGATTTTTCTCGGGGCGGGTTAATGTTGTACTCTTTTTTTTATGTAGTTCGTCCCAATGAAAGCTGTAATTTTAAACTTTTTAAAATTAAAAGTAAACAAATTACATCACTGTAAAATAAATTACGTGAATTATATATATCAACTTTTAATATTTTAAGCATATTTTATTTTATTTATTTTTCATTTGCAATCTTTGTCTTTAAAAGTAGACGTGATGAAACCGTTTCGATATAAATCTCTGAAATTGTCATTAATGATTTCAATTGCGTGACGTAAAACTACAAAAGGAGGAATAGATAGACAGATAAATACTTTTATTTACAAAAAAAAAAAATCTATTACCAAAAATAAATTTAGAAGTGTACACAACCATTTATTAAAATCGTCTCCCCGAGGTTGTCGTTGATAACATAAAAACATATGAAAATATGGTTAATAAAAAAAATATTAATCGAAATAATGAAAAAAAGGAGGAATGCATGGAGCTAGAAAAGACAAGATCGCCCTCTAATGCCCACCAGGTCATTTATAAATAATTTTCAGGATGAGGGCCAGTCTTCCGAAATGTATTTCCTTCCATTTATAAATGACAATGTTTCTGCTGACGACTTTGTCCCAGCGTGTGCCGCCAATAGTTTCAAATTATAGATTTGTGATAATTATACAAATTATTAATTGAATTGCTTCAAATTTTTGTATATAGAAATATTAAACCGTAATAAAATAATTATATTGCGCCTTGGGCGAGTGTATATAAAAGTATGTTTATTGTTCGATAAATTTGGTGTAGTAGAATTAATTGAAATGTTGACTGAAGAATGATCCCTTTTAATAGGAGGTTCACAAGAGTGGCGGTTTCACGTTTGACAAGTCTTATAAATTGTGTCCTGTTATTGAACAATATAAAAAAAGTATAAATTTATTTAACATACGCTTGCCTTATTTGTTAGTTCAGGGTCTGATAATAGGCGGTAGTCAGTCATTAAAAGAAAATATTTGCTTGGCCTTCTAATCGACATGGTTTGTCGTTTAAATTGATCGAATCGTTTTGGGATCTGAAAATCAAATTCATGTGATAAAGACTCGAGTTATTATTTTGAACAATTTCACTTCAGTTAAAAATAATGGTTTGAGAGATTTTTTCCCAACTTCAAGATTTCACTTATCATAAATTTTATAACGTTCAACACAAGGTCTTTTATTTATTTGTATTACGTCAATTTTAGGTATTACGTCAAGTTAGGTAGCTCTAATAGATTAAAGATAATTTATGTACGACGATTCGTATCCTTGTTCTCAAATTCTTTCTAAGTGTCGAGGGAACCACTCGAAGATACCAAGGAGGCATGATGACCTGTCTCCCAAATCTCGGGATACCATGTCCCAGTCAAAACTCACCACCGTTTACCGGATGGGAGATGTCTCCGGCCGAATATCGTTGACGCATTGGATCGGGTGGCGGACCTTAAAGCGCAAAAAAAATGAAGGAAGCCGTCACGGAGCTAAACCACATAAATTTCTCTGAAGCAGTGGGTGTAGTGTCGTGGCAAGAGGAGAGAGAACGTTCCTCTTCCTCTCCTAACAGCGCGGAGGTCCTCACTTTCCAGTCTACATTCATATGCACAGAGTGCGTAATATCTGAAAGCGACGGACCCTCAATGGATGACGGTACTCGAATAGTGCATGAGAGTGGGAGATAGATGACCTGCACCTAAGGTTGTCAAAACCGGCAAACAGAGGAAAGAAAAAACGACGATCGGTACGTGCCGGTGCCACAATCATGTATATATGGACTTTTCAAAACTAGTAAAAAATAAAAAAATAGTAAAACTGGCAACGTGTTTACCCAATTTATTAGTCTACATAATTTAATATTTTATAGCTACCGTACCCTCTAAAATTGGCCTAATAAAATAAAAAGAAAAAGAACAAAACAACGAAAAGAAATATTTTTGTCGTAATCTTTAAGGAATAAAATATTGTGGAATCCACTAAATATTTATTTATTCTAAATCATTGCACTAAAAGATGGAAAGGAGCCAACATTGGTCAACATGGATGTTTCTGATATAGAGTTTCTTCGAGACGTGTCTAGAAACCAGATCCGACATTTCTTTACACGTAAATGCTATATGTAAAACTACATGGATCGACAACTCAAGTAAGGAAAGATGGGACAGAAAAGTACCAAGGGACGGCTAATCGAGAATCGAGTATAACTTACTGGCTATAACCAGATTTTTTAATTACCCAATTAGCACGGGAATTTTAAAGTACCTGCACAGACTCCACAGAACTAAGTCTACTGTGGAGTCAATGACTGTCCAAAAACCGTTCCCCCTTTGTAAGGGCTTAGGAAAAAAATCCTCATAAGGTCGGATAGCCAAACAGCATGTAAAAAAAAATCATATGAAAATAGTCAGTGAATGCATCAAAAATCTCCAAAACCTGGGGAAACAGAAAACCTGATGATATCTTGGGTACCAAAACACAGTTGAAATTTGGAATAACGAAAAAGCACACACTGGCCATATATAGGTCTTGGGATAACAAAAACAAAAACAGATTAGCGAAGGATGATAGAACATCAATGTACAGTACTTCTTAGAAAAGGATCGAGTCGGATTGCACTGAACTAACTTGGCAAGTACAATAAGCTATAAAACTTTATGAATTAAAAACTTAATTATACAATAATAAATTACACTGAACCCCATACAACAAATGGGCTCTTAGACGCTTAAAGGCATTTTGAGTTATAAAATGGCAGGCTCACTGGCCAGAGGAGGATCTGCAAGACCGTATATAGGGGCTGAACCTAGTCTTGTGATAAAAAAAACAAAACATAATTCTCCCACACAGAATGGATCCAAAAAAGACAAAAGGAGAAATGGATAAACTCTACAGGCGCTAGACACAGTAAACATATGCTAGAACAATCCTCATCACGACAGCAAACTCTGCTACAGAGAGAGATCAGAGGAGTGGTAGGACTATTAACCGGTTATTGGCATCTGAGAAAACATCTACATGGGCATTTTGAGTAATCATATCTCCATTTGTAGATTAAGCAATGAGGAGGAAGAAACAGCCACCCATATCATCTTTGAATGTTAAGCAACAGTTCAATGGAGACATTACCTGGAGTACAAAGAAAACCCAGGAAAAGGAACTGCATCAATGAACTAGTACTTCTTCAAAGATGGATCGAGTTAATTGAGCTGAACTAAGGAACTAGCAAAGTGCAAAGCCAGAAGTCTGCATTGCTTGCGAATATAATCCCAATTCCTAGTACCATCATCATCATCAACATAATGTGAAGCAACCGCTTAGTTGAGACATAACCTGGAATAAAATGACCCTGTACTCCTTAAAATGATCAAATCGACACTGAACTACGGAACTAGGAAAGAACAATAAGCCAGAAGGCTGCAGTGCTTGATGAACATAAACCACCCTTACTCCCAGTCTCTTTTTTCATTTACATTTAATTCAAACATTAAGCTTTTTCATTTATTTAGTTTAATTAGATTAACAATGTAAATAATGCTAATACAAAGTTGCTAACAAGTATCAAAAACAAAGTTGCTTCAATAATGATGATTACAAATGCCTTTATCCTACTTCACTTAAATAAATAATTTAAAAATTATGCGATAATATTTTACAGTAGTTTCTTAGTCATAATTTTATGAGATTCATTCAACATTTTAACTATGAATGTTTTTCTTCTGATTATAAATACAAACAGATGATATCAACACCTCACTGAAACTAACACAAATCGTTTTTCTTTTCAAAAATAAACTTCAATATTTAAAAATCGTTAATTATTTGATTCATTTTTTTAAAATAGCATGAACTGATCAAATATTAAAATTTTAATCTTCTTGTGACCAACGCACAGTGATCACCGGCGTTTTATTATATATATACATTTTTTGGTTCGGGAGAACGATTTTTTTTAACTGAGTGTATTGAATATATAGTTAAATTTATTTATAATCTGCCTTTAGAGAGAATTGGGTGTAGAGTAGGGCGTGGGTGTCCCTGGAGGGGGTTGGGCGAGGGCGAGGGTTGAACCTGTATCGAGCGAAGAATCCACGTGGCCAGAGCCCGGGCAACTACCCCCCACCTGTGGCACAGCCAACCCCCTTCAAACCCTCTCCATGATTCCATCAAGTTCTATGCTCAACATATCGTTTACCAATATACTTTCGCCTTTTCCATTTCCAATAAGGCTCAGGTGTTGCCGGCTCACGCTATCGTGAAATCTGATTTTAATATAGACATATACTTAAAAAAAAGAAAAAAAAGTGAGAAGTGTAGGCTTTTCACCCTGCCCGGGGTTCCAATCACGATTTATAGCCGTTTGACTTTCATTTACTATAAAACCCGTGTTTCACGAACAAAATTAAGACCACGATCTGAATAACGGTTTTAATTACTGCTGCAAATAATTTACTACATCTATACTAATATAATAAAGAAAGTTTGTTTCTATGTAAGAGGTAATCTAGAAATCTACTGGTCCGATTTTGATTTTTTTTTCAGACTCGTTCCTTACCATCGTAGGAATTATTTATTTACGGTTTCCCAATTACAAATGTAGACAATAAACTTAAAATCATCAATTTAAAA